AATTTGAAAGATTATAGATAGATTTGAAAGATTATAGATATTGTGGAAAGGAAAAGAAACTGATCAAATAGGAAGGGGCAACTGGGATGAAGGAGAGGAGAGGAAAAAGAAAGAAGGAAGAGGGGAAAATATGTGTATATATATGTACATATATATATATATATATATATATACACACACAGGATAACTAAGATAGTTGTACTACTGATTTCTATTGTTTTATTGAAAGGAACAGTTAATGTTTAATTGTTTGATCAATCTTACATGCCTATATTTGTTTATCTGAGTAATCAATTTGAAGATATCAATATGTGATACAAGAAGCATTATTAATTTCCTGTCACCTTGTCTGCAATTCTGTATTGCTTGTATTGTTTTTGTGTTATTTTGTAAATGTGTGTGTGTCTGTTAATATGTTTTCCTTCTTTTATCTTTAAAATAAAAAAAAGTCTTTAGGGTACAGAGCAAAAATCTTCATCACCTAGTGGAAGAGAGCTCTAAAAGGACACTAAAATGCCATCTATTAAATGTTTGATAAATTGGACCTCATCAAAATTAATAACTTGTTTTACAAAAGATACTACCAAGAAAAAAGAAAAAGCAAGCAACACACTCAGAAAAAAAAATATTTGCAAGAGTCAGTTGAAAAAAGTTTATTCAGTGAGCTTGTACAGTAGCAGTGTGTCCTTGAGAGAAGGTGTTCACTTTGCAGCTGGCTTTGTCTGTGTCCCTTATCTTGCCCTTATGAGTAACAGCACACATTTTGTTACTTTCCTGGCCCAAGATAATGTTTGTTTCTAAGTATTAAGGGTTCAAGAGAAAGAAAGAAAGGGAGAATGTCATAAACAATAATCATGCTATTCAAAGTGAGCCTGCAAATGAAACTTTCCAGTGAGATAAAGAAATATAATGCTAAGAAAGACAGCCAAAAATTAAAACATGAAGCAAGCTCATTTGTGCTACTGAAAACATTACACATTGATGTGTATGGTGTTTATGTCAAATATGAGTAGGAGTTAATTATATTTCATTCATAACTTTTTGTTCACTTAAAATTACAAAATAAAAAGTTGTAAGAGTAATAGAAGCTTCCTGTATTAACTGCTTAAACACTAATTTCCACTAACATTGTATATTATTTTTGTAATTTTTCTTTTTCTGTTATAAGCGTGCACGCGCGTGTGTGTGTGTGTGTGTGTGTGTGCATGCACACTGGTATTTCTAGTAATGATCTGAAACAAATTTAAGATTAAAAATAACCCTTTAACCCAGATAGGTTTAGAAACACTGGCATAATGGACCTTACATTAAAAAAAAAAAAAAAACTAAAATGAAAAAAAAAAAAACCCAAAGTTAACAGCAAACAATACACAAAGGACTACATTTGTTCTTTACTCTCTGGCCATTTATAAAGAAATGTCTCCTCCTACTGGCAATTTTCTATGATGAGATTTCTTTAAAATAAATGTTCTCGCGTCTTTTGCAGGGAGTCTGACCAAAGAAAGGACACACAACTTGCACCAATTTGTACTACTTTTTGCTGTATTTGATGAAGGTTAGTGAGCTTTAATCTAAATTTTGGATTCCTAAAAGAAGTAAAGTATATTATCTTAAGATGGTATTTCAGAATGTGAGTTGCTTCTACTCAGAGGAAGCGTTTATAGAAAACTACATTATCACTCAGGATAGATCCTAAGGATAGGAAGGCAAGATGCATATATTTTGTGATAATATCTGTGTTAGTATATTTTGAGCTGTTACAATAAAATAGTTGAGATGAAATACTTTATAAGAAAAGATTTTTATTTAGCTCATAGTTCTAAGAATCAAAGAGCATGGCACCAGCATCAGCTATGAGGTAAGAAAACAGAGGAGTTGGGTAACAGGTTGGTCTTGTCCCTTCATGAAATCCACCAAGAAAGATTTTTGGCTGTACTTTCTAAATATCTTCTTTTGTCTTCATCTCTTACTAAATGAGTGACCTCTGGCAAATTCCTTAAATTCTCTGTGTCTATTTCCTGAAACCTAATATTGAAATAATAGTAACTTTTTTCATAGGATTGTTGTAAGATTTAGGTGATTTCACTGCAGTACCTTGAACACAAAATAGGCCATCAATAGTGTTAGAACTTCTGCCTCTTCCTTCTAAAGTAATCAACAACCATAACAACGTTGCTATTTCCTCTCTCCTCTCACCCACCTACACCACCGTTTTCATGACTGAGGCTCCCATCATATTTCTCCTGAGTAGTCTCCCAGACTTTCTGGGCTCCTAACACTCCATTGTTATGATAACAGCCAGAGGAATTTCCAGTGCTCTAGCTCTTATTGATTTTAGAGAAGAGGTTAGGAAGCTTTCAAGATCTGGAATTTCATTTCTACAAGTACAGGAATGAAGCAATTATGGCAAGAATAAGGACTGACAGCCCTTTTTAGGGAGTGATGTTCATTTCCTTCCTTTTAAATAAATCAGCTAAGTGCTTGCTTCAGCAGCACATATGCTAAATAAACCAACAAATAAATAGAATGAAATCCTTATGGCTAAAACTAACCAATATTCACCTTTCCCCTAGTTATCATTTATCATTATTTTTTCTCTGCTATTGTCATTAACAAACATAGAGAGATATAATCAGTGTGAGCAAGACATGTCTACCTTTGATAGTTGTCTTCTTCCTCTCACTGATTTGGGAGAATAAGTCATCTACCTACTTTGCTGACAAAAGTGCTTTTAGTGTGAGTAGTTTTTGTCCTAAGGGAGATATGTGAGCTTTCTGTTGCTGAAAAAAAAAACTTAAAGGAAGAAAGACTGATTTTGGCTCACAGTTTTAGTCCATGGTTGGCCTGTGATAAGGCAGGAACATCATGGTGGACGGGTGTAGAACAGCAAAGCTGCCCAGCTCATGGCAGCCAGGAAGAATAGGGGTAGGAGAAGGTCTAGGGACAAGATATCCCCTCTCTGGTTGTGCCTCCAGTGACCTCTACTCCCTCCAACTAGATCCCACCTCTTACAGTTTCCACCACTTCTCACTTGTGAACATATCAATCTACTGATGCAGTCAGATCCCTCACGATCCAGTCATTTTCCATAAACCTCAGCTCTGAACATGGATGCACTGGGGGACCAAACCTTCGACACATGAGCCTTTGTAGGACGTTCCAGATCCGAACCATACAGAAGCGGGAGAGGGTGGTCATTCATGACTCAGAGCTTCACTGACTGTATTTTTCTTTCTCTCTCATAGGGAAGAGCTGGCACTCAGAAACAAAGGGCCCTAGGACACAGGCTTCAGATTCTGCATCCACTGGAGCCTGGCCTAAAATGCACACAGTCAATGGCTATGTAAATAGGTCTCTGCCAGGTATGTACACGTCTGCTTAATAGTCCTCAGCTTTTCTGAATTCAGCACAAGAGATATCTTCTCCAGGTCTCAGACTGCACTGTATCCTAGTAGAAAGCCCACTGTTGTGGGCTTTAATGTTGTGAAGATCACCTGAAAATGAAGGCCTGCTCCTGGACACAGGACTCACTACCAGATTTCTCTATCCTTTTGCTTAAATATGCATGGGAAATCAAGGATGAGCATACATTTATGGATGTCTATGCAGAAATAATATGCAAAAATAAATGAAGAAAAAATAATCCTAGAGGAGAAAGAGGTAATGCTAAGAACAGAAGAGAACTTGCCAGAGCTGATTTTCACAACTATTCAAGATGTGGCATCAATAAAGTAACAGCAGGGTGCTGCAGAAAAGAACCAATCAGAACAAGAACATGCTCATAAAAATCAGAAATACAATTGTCAAAATACAAACTCAATAGGAAGTAGGTAGGGAAAATGTTCCATAAAGTAAAACACAAAGAAATGTTGAAAATATATTTTAAAATAGGCTTAAAATAAGTGACAAAATAAGAATGTTAAGAAATAAGAGATACGGGGCTGGGGATTTAGCTCAGCGGCAAAAGCGCCTGCCTGGCAAGCGCAAGGTCGTGAGTTCAGTTCCTGGTACCAGAGAAAAACCAAAGAAAAAGAAATAAGAGATACAAGTCTTCTTACTGAAAATTATCCATCACGATAAAAAGGAATCTCACACAAAATTGTTACTGTGGCATTTCAGCATACAAAGACAAGACATAAAACTTTGGCTGGGAGCGACAAGCCATACATGAAGAACTAAACATAGGGCTTCTTAAAAGTTCTAAGGGAAAGACTTTTTGAGTTACATTTTTGGCAGTTTGATTTTGGTGGTACTGGGAACTGAACTCAGGACCTCCCACTTGCCAGGAAGGCGCTGCACCACTGAGCTAAATCTCCGGTGAGCAGTTTGAGTTTTCAATTAATTTTTATTGGTGCATGTTTACCATACACAATGATCTCATCCATCATAGGGAATTTGTACCTGTACATAATGTATCTCAATTCTTTTTCCCATTTTCCTCTCCTCCCTTCAGTCCTTTGCCCCCCACTCCCTATTTCCAAAATTTTGTTTGCATTGCTTTCCTTCTATTTTTTAAAAATCCCTATTCCCTTCTTTCCTTTCCTCCAACCCTTCGCCTGTTCCCCTTCCCATTTGAGCATTTTCTTCCTACTTCCCAATATTTATCTTGCATTTTAGTCCTAATTTACCGTCTGAGTTTCTCACACAAGAGAAACAATACAATATTTAAACATGTGTGTCTGATTTATTTTATTTAACATTTTGATCTTGAGATTCATCCATTTACCTAGAAATGTTTCAGCTTTATCCTTTTCTATGGCAGAGTAGCACTCCATTGTATGTAAAAACCACATTTTCTTTATCCATTCCCCAGCTGATGGGTGTATGGGCTGTTTCCAAGATTTAGCTACTATCAATTGTGCCATAAACACGCGTGTGCATATATCACTGTGGTATGATGCTTTTAACTCTTCTGGGAAGATACCTAGAAGGGGAAAACCTAGGTCAAATGGATTTTCTACTTTTAGTTCTTTAAAGAATCTCCATCATGATTTCCATATTGGAAGGGTTCCTTCTTCCCCATAGCCTCTCCAGTATTTGTTATTGGTTGATTCTTGATGATAGCTATTCCTTCTGGAATGAGAGGGAATCTCAGTGTTTGAATTTGCATCTCTTGAATGACCAGTGTTGTTGAACATTTTTTCATATATTTATTTTCCATTTATAGTTCTTCATCTGAGAAGTGTCTAGTCATTTCAAATGCCCATTCTTTGCGTTGTCTCTTCACTGTTTTGGTGGTTTATTTTGCTGTGCAAAAGCTTTTTAATTTGATGTGATCTCAGATGTTGGTTCTTTGTAATATTTCTGTGCAAGCAGGGTTTTGTTCATAAAGTCTTTGCCTATACCAGTGTCTTCAAGAGTTTTACCTACTCTGTCTTTTAGCAGATTAAGTATTTCTGTCTTAATATTTATTTATTTATTTATTTATTTATTTTGTCTTTTTGAGACAGGGTTTCACTCTGCAATTCAGGCTGGCCTTGAACTCACTTTGTAGCCCAGGCTGGCCTCAAACTCACAGTGATTCTCCTGCCTCAGCCTCCCAAGTGCTGGGATTATAGGCATGTACTACCATGCCTGACCTGTTTTAATATTTAGATCTGTGATCCATTCTGATTTCAGTTTAGTGCATGGTGATAAACATGGGTCTATTTTCAGCCTTTCGCAAGTGGCAAACCAGTTTTTCAAGCACCATTTATTAAAGAGGCTACCTTTCTTCCAGTGAAACTGTTTGGCCCCTTTTTCAAAGATAAGGTAGCTGAGTGGGTTTGGAGTTGTTTCTGCATCCTCCTTTCTGTTCCAGTACTGTTTTGTTTTGTTTACAGTACCATGCTCATTTTAGCATGGTAGCTTTATAGTATAATTTCAAGTCAGGGATTGTGATGCTGTCTGCGTTGCCTCTGTTGCCCAGAATTGTTTTTGCTATTCTGGGTCTCTTCTGCTTTCATATGAATTTTAGTATTGTTTTCTCTAATTCTATGAGGTATGCAATTGGTATTTTGATCAGGCTTGTAGTAAACCTGCGTAACAGTTTTGGAAGTATGGCCATGGGAAAGATTATTTTTAACCTGTAATTTTTAACTAAATGAGGAAACAGCTTTGGGAACAGAATACTTCTTTTTCAGAAATAGAAGGACCTAGAAGCCAGTGACTATGCATTGGAGTAAAAGTAGAAAGTAAATGAAAGAATTTGGGTGATCGAGCAAACCAAGAGAATAATGAAGGATGAGGAGGGTCTTTTCTTCTTAATTATTTTCTGTACTCGTGCTGGTAATTCCATAGTGAATATGCATAATTTTAGAATTAAAAAAGAAATTAATCTTTAATACATTCAAGATGTGGCTATCACATAATTTATAGTATAATGGAGAGACTGATAATAACCAAATACTCATAACAACAAATGCAAAATTATAAACCAAGAATTACTCGGAAAGAAATTTACACAATTATTTATGAGCACATAACAAAGGAATCTATCCCAGACTGGACTCCCTGAAGAAGTACCACTTGAGCTGAGCATTGAAGATGTTAACTATATCGCCATAGTTTGTGTTACATTGGATATAGGAGGTGACAATCGTTACAAGGAAAATTCTCACCTGTATAATTGAATCTTGGATGGTGCCATTCACTGAAATAAGGAACTCTGGAGGAGAATGAGGTGATGAAGACTGCATGTCCATTGAGTTTAGCAGCATGATGATCACTGATGAACTTGGCAAGAGCTGTTGGTTTGATAGTAACCCCAACTTCCTTGGTATGTTTGTTTATGAGTTAAGGTAACAAAACTTGCATGGTCAGTTTGTCCATCTTGCCCTAGCAAGTGTTTTCCGTTTCAAATTCTCTCCTTCTTAGCAATAGCCGTCTTATTTCTATTTTACAGGTCTGATTGGGTGCCACAGGAAATCAGTCTACTGGCATGTGATTGGAGTGGGCACCACCCCTGAAGTTCATTCAATATTCTTTGAAGGTCACACATTTCTTGTGAGGAACCATCGCCAGGCCTCTCTGGAGATATCACCAATAACTTTTCTTACTGCTCAGACACTGTTGATGGACCTTGGACAGTTTCTACTCTTTTGTCATATACCTTCCCACCAACATGGTAATATCTTAGGTCTTTAAAATGAGTATTATTTTTAATGGAATTTATTGGACACTGCAGGAATATAGTGTGTTGCAGAAGGTGCCATTATAGAGTCAGAACTATGTTAGACCTCACCTGAGACCCCCTAGTTGCTAGCATCCAGGGTAAAGATTTTACCTGGAATGTAGGAGGATTTGAGTATTATTAGCATGGGTGGATTTTTCATTAAATGTCAGTGAGAGAAGAGAGATAGTCTAAGGATGAGTGAGATGGGGGAATGAGGGAGGACAGTATGTCATTGGTTTTCTTGCCTGGTCCCATCAACCATGCTTCAATACAATGGAAAGAGGGACTACAGGTTGTAAGTGAAGATATGTTTTGTTTTCAACATTCTAAAGCCTAGACCAAATTAATTCCCCATCTCCACAGGCACCTAATGATTTCTGTGCTTACTCCACTGGGTTGCCATACAAATTGCTAATTTAATACCAGTTTATCAGGAAAATATGGTCTCTGTTTTTAATTTGATAGGCTCAAAACCAGTTTTAGAAGGGAAATATTCATTCATGTATTACTAGAGCAAATTAATGAATTTTACAAAAAGGTCCAAAACATATATGGACAGCCCAGCAAAAGGAAAATGGCAAAGATAAGAGAAAGAAACCAACCAGTACTAGATAGTCCATATAAGAAATCCATATAGGAGTGTGGCTAAGAGGAGTGCTGGTGTGGAAAGGGGGGCACTTGGGGCAAAGTCTTGAAAGCCCAAGAAGAGAAGAAGTCATGGAAGTTAAGGTAAAAGGACTTGTCAGAGTCTGACCCTGTTTGGTTTGCCTGACTCTAGCTGGCATGGAAGCTTATGTGAAAGTAGACAGCTGCTCAGAGGAACCCCAGCTAAGGATGAAAAAGGATGAAGAAGAGGAAGATTATGATGATGATGATCTTGATTCTGAAATGGATGTGTTTAGGTTCGATGATAACTACTCTCCCTTTATCCAAATTCGCTCTGCTGCCAAGAAACACCCTAAAACTTGGATACATTATATCGCAGCTGAGGAGGAGGACTGGGACTACGCTCCTTCAGTCCTCACCTCTGATGACAGGTAAGCACCTTTATTTATTTATTTATTTATTTTTTTTGGTTTTTCTCCGGTACCGGGAACCAAACTCACAACCTTGCGCTTGCCAGGCAGGCACTTTTGCCGCTGAGCTAAATCCCCAGCCCCGGTAAACACCTTTAGAGTCTTGCTATTACTCTTGTCCAAACCCAAAATGTTCTTATTGTTATTCAAATAAAATGCTTAGGATGTGTTTAAGGGTTAGTACAGGTATAAAATCAAATGGCAAGAGCATTGTGTTAGTCAGCTTTCTGGCACTGTGGCAAAAAAACAAAAAAACAAAACTAAGATAAACAACTTCCAGGAAGAAAGGTTGATTTCGTCTCATAGTTTCAGAGGTTTCAGTCGTGGTCGCTTGGTCACTTTCCTTTGCGCTCGGATTGAGGCAGAACATCTTGGTAGGAGCATATTTTGGACCAGGCCAGGAAACAGCAAGATGAAGTAAAAGGGACCAGGTGTCCATAGATCCCTTTCAAGGCTACACCCCCAGTGATCCAACTTCTTTCCACTCAGCTCACCCTCTAAGGGTTCTTCGCCTCCCAGTAGCACCCCGGGCTGGGAACCATGCCTTCAACACATGATCTGTGGGGGACACTGAAGATCGGACAGTAGCAGTTATTAACCTATTTGGAGACCACCACAGTGAAGTGTGAGATGTGTTTGTACTGTGTTTTTCTCATTCTTGTCTGGATGAGATCAGATCAACTGTTTTATTTTTTATTATTTTTTAAACAAACAAGAATTTATTATGTATTAGTAATGCATAAAGATCTGTTTTAGAACTGAATTTTTTGGTGTATCTAAGATTTTTTTTATCCCAATGCCTTATATTTTTGTCTCTCCAGCAGAAGTTATAAAAGTCAGTATTTAAACAATGGTCCTCAGCGAATTGGTAAGAAGTATAAAAAAGTCCAATTTATGGCATACACAGATGAAACCTTTAAGACCCGGGAAGCTAGACAATATGAATCAGGAATCCTGGGACCTCTACTTTATGGTGAAGTTGGAGATACACTGTTGGTAAGTTAAGGAAAAGACTCGAGATTAGGTAAGAATCCAAAGTCTGGAGGTTTTGGGTTTCTGCAGTACTTCATAATTCAGCTTGTTTCCAACGGACATGATGTTGTAAAAATTATAAATGCTACAGAAATAAGTGCTGATTATATATATTTTAAATGAGTATCTAGGGTAAAATTTAATCTGACACTGTAAACCAACTATTCCTTTGAATTTTGCACTGCTTAGACTTTGATAGATATCCTTCCAGAACATTTTTTGTTTTTTATATAATATAGGAGTCAGAACACTACAGCTTGTGGACTAAATTCAGTTTATGATCTGCTTTTGGACAGTTTGTGAGCCCAGAAGGGACTTTGCATTTTTAAAGGGTTGCAAAGAGAAGAAGAAGACAGGGGAAACAGGATGGAGAATACGTGATAAAGCCTAAGGTGTTTACTATCCAGCCCTTTCCAGAAAATGTTTGCTGATCCCTGATCTAGGGTATTAAGAATCTTTAAAGAGCAGGTAAATAGAATATTCAATGAACAATGGTTTAAGTGAATATGGGTTTATTTTCTTCACAAGAATGGAGATTTGGTCCACTTCATGATAGAAGGTATGTCAAAGAATTTGAGAATCAGTCCCAGACTGACAATTTACTTTTCTAGTTTAACAAAGGAAGCCACAAGACAATAAAATCACATCTTTAGTGTACTGAATGAGAATAATTATTAATCTTGCAAGAATTTTTATTTTATTGGCAATTTAAACCAATGAAAGACATAAAAAGTTAAAATGTAGAGTATTACAAGGGAATAATTATCTTGGTGAAATTTCAAAAACCTGCTTAAGGTTAGGACAAGACAGAGCCACCTCTATTTAATGCTATACTGGAAATATCAGTGAGTGTTCTTAGGAGAAAAAAAAAGAAAATTTTGATATTGGAAAGTAATAAACAAGACTATTATGGGCTGGGCATGTAGCTCAATGGTAAGGCACTTGGGTAGCATGTGTGAGGTGCTGGGGATTGAACCCAGGGCAATACATAGGGGACAAACATAGATAAATAAATAGCTGTTCTATAATAAGAAATAGGCTATGTGGTGGACTTATCAAATGCGTGGATTTTAAGACAAGAGTGCAAGTGGAAGTTAATTTTTCACTGTCATATCATACAGGCTCAGATGTAGAGGAAGGATTAACATCTTCTGGGCCTTCCTTGCTGTCTCCGTATCCTGTTTTCCTCCTTTCCTTTCAAGTCTTTGCATCAGTGCAATCCTCCTGTCCTTACTTGGTGCTATATCATCAACTGCCCTCCTAGTCACGCTTCTTATTTTACCGCTTGAATCCCTATTGGCCTCTCTTCTCTTAGGGAATTTAGTGACCAGATAAAGGAAAAACCTGAGAGGGAGCAGTGTCTTCTCAGTTCATGTGAAAAGGCACAGTGAAAACTTCCAGAAGCAATTGAAACAATTTTTAAAGAAATGGAAAGAGGCCTTTAGTATGAAACCTAAATAGCTGTCTAAACAATTGCAGAAAAGAACAAACATTTTGAACATTGACTAGGCTCAAACTCCTAGAATGTAAGTACACGCAGCTTTTGCTTTTCTGGAGATAGGCTACAGTTTTCTCGTTGGTCCTAGTTGTCTTAGGATTTGCTCTTATATTTCATTTATACTTTCAGATTATATTTAAGAATCAAGCGAGCCGACCTTATAACATCTACCCTCATGGGATAACTGATGTCAGTCCTTTGCACTCAAGGAGATTGCCAAAAGGTAAATATGACCACATTTTAAAAAATTTGTTTCTATTATTACATGTTTGGAGTTCATAATGATTACATATGCCTAACACATACTAACTCTTTTCACACCTCCTTCCCTTCCCTTTCCTCCACCTGCCCTCCATCTCCCGGCCCCCTTCCCATCTGGAAAAGACCTACGTCCCTGTTTCCTATTGTGTATCTTTTTTTTTGCTTTTTAATTTGTTTACAGTTTGAGTTTCTCATATAAGAGAAACTATAAAGTATTTAAGTTTGTGTTTCTGATTTATTTTGCTTGACATTATGGTTTCAAGATGCATCCATTTTCATACAAATGACTCAAGTTTATCCTTCTATATGGCAGAATAGTACTCCATTGTGGATAAATACTATGATTTTTTTATCCACTCATCTGTTGGTGGACATGTAGAATTCTTCCAAAATTTAGCTATCATGAATTGTTCCGCTATAAACATGGGTGTGCGTATATCACTGTAATATGATGTCTTTAACTCTTTCAGGAAAGCCCCTAGAAGGTGACTAACTGGATCAAGTGGAATTTCTAGTGGCAGTGTTTTGAGGCTTCTCCATCCTTTATAGTGGTTATACTAGTTGACATTCTCACCAGCAACGTAGAAGTGTTCATTTTCCCCCACAGCCTCTCCAGCATTTATTATTATTTGATTTCTTGACAATAGCCATTCTTTCTGGAGTAAAATGGAATTTCAAAGTTGTTTTAATTTGCATTCCTGTAATGACCAGAGATGTGGGACATTTTTTCACATACTTATTGACCATTTGTACCTCTGAGAAGTGTCCATTTGTTTCAGCTGCCCATTTTTTGACTGGGCATTTTACTTTGGGGAGAGGTCTATTATGGCTTGTGTCTAGCTGTCCCCCCAAAGCCTCACGCAGTCATACGTGGGGCTTTGAGAGGTGGCTGCATTTAGAGTGTGTGACACTGGGATTGATTCATGGTGCAATGCTAGGCTCAAGGGTGTGAGTGCCATGTGCTCTAAGGACAGGGAGCCTGGAGAAGATACAAGGGACAGAAAGTGGCCTGTCACTTGTAGCTCACTTGCTTGCTGTCTTCTGCTTGCCTTGCTTTTCCATGGATTGTTTCTCTCCTGCGATGCCCCTCTGCCATGCCACCCTGCCCTGGAGCCAACTGACTATGAGCTGAAACCTCTGCAAACTGTGAGCTCAATAAACATTTCCTCCTTTAACTTTGGGTGTTGAGTATTTTGTCTCAGCAATGAGAAAAGTAACTCACATAGAGTCTAATTATTTTATTTCTTTATATATTCTGGACAATAGTCCTCTGTCTGAGGAATAGCTGGCCAAATTTTTCCCATTCTGTAGGTTGTCTCTTCTCACTCTGTTGATTATTTTCTTGGTAGTGCAGAAACTTTTTAATTTGATATAATACTATTTGTTGATTCTTGATATTATTTCTTGTGCACTTGAGGTTCTTTCCAGAAAGTTCTTCCCTATGCCTATGTTTTCAAGAATTCTACCTATTTTCTCTGCCAGCAGATTGTTTCTGTTTTAATATTTAGATTTTGGATCCATTTTGATTTTAGTTTAGTACATGGTGAGAAATATGGATATACATTCAATCTTCTGCGTGTGGATAGCGAGTTTTCCCAGTACTGTACCATTTACTAAAAAGGCTATCTTTCTTTCAGCCTGTGTTTTTGGCCCCTTTGCCAAAGATCAGATAGGTGAACGTGTATGGGATTGTTTCTGCATCCCTTAATCTGTTCCATTGATCCAGAAATCTGTTTCGGTGCCATTACCATGCTGTTTTTTTTTTTTTTTTTTTTATCACTGTAGCTTTGTAGTATAACTTGACATCTGAAATTGTGATGCTCCCTGCCTGGATCTTGTTTCCTAGAATTACCTTTTCTATTCTAGGTCTCTTCGAGTTCCATATGACTTTTAGGATTGTTTTCTCTAGTTCTGTGAGAAATGCTATTGGTATTTTGACTGAGATTGCATTAATCTCTATATTGGTTTTGGAAATATGACCATTTTGACAACATTGGTTCTATCAAGAAAGAAGAAATATCTTTCCATTTATTTATTTATTTATTTATTTATTTATTTTTGGTAGTAGGAATCAAACTCAGGACCTTGCGTTTGCCAGGCAGGCACTGTGCCACTGAGCTATATCCCCAACCCCTACTTTCCATTTTCTAATGTCCTCTTTGATCTCCTTTTTCAGGGTACTACAATTCTAATGTAGAGATCATTCACTTCCTTGGTTAGGTTAATTCCTAAGTATTTAATTGCTCTTGATTTTATTGTGAACGATATTGCTTCCCTAATTTTGTCATTGAGTTTATCAGTGGTGTACAGGAATGCTACTGATTTTTGTGTGTTGATTTTTAATCCTGCTACCTTGATGAATTTGGTTATTAATTCTGGAAGTATTTTGGTGGATTTTTTTTTTGGTCTTCTATATAAACAATTATGGTATCTGCAAATAATGATAATTTTATTTCTTTCTTTCCTATACATATCCCTTTGATTGCTCTCTTGCCAAATTTCCCTGGCTAATGTTTTGAGTACTATATTTAATAGGAGTGGTAGTAGTGGACATCCTTGTCTTGTCCTGATTCAAGAGGAAAAGATTTCAGTTTTTCTCTATTTGATATATTTATTTTTGTTTTTTCAAGACAGGGTCTCACTATGTAGTTTAGACTGGCCTTGAACTCACTATGTATCCCAGGCTGGCCTTGAACTCAGGGCAATCCTCCTACCTCAGCCTCCTGCGTGCTGGGATTACAAATGTGCATCACCACGTGCCGGTAATTGTAATATACTGTTGATGGTTTGTCATAAACGGCTTTTATGAGACTGAGATTATGTCATTTTATATCTAGTTTCTTCAGGTTTTTTAAAAAATTATGAATGGATTTTGGATTTTGCCAGGTTTTTTTCTGCATCTATTGAGATGATCATCTGATTTTTGTCCTTCCTTCTGTTTATCTGATGTATTACATTTAGTGATATGCATATGTTCAACCATCCTCCTGCATATTTGGGATGAAGCCTACTTGGTCATGGTGTATGATCTTTTTGGTGATTTACTGTGTTCTGTTTGTCAGCGTGTTGTTGAGGATATCTATTTATTCATTCATTTACTTATTTATTTAGTGTCTGTGTTCATTAGAGAGATTGGTATGTAGTTCTCTCCTTTGGTTGAATCTTTGTCTGGTTTTGGAATCAGGGTAATACTAGCTTCTATGAATAACTTTGGGAATATTCTTTCACTTTCAGTTTCATTAAAGAGTTTGAGAAATATTGATGTTGTAGCTTCCCTGAAGGTCTTGTAAAATCCATCAGAACCCAGGTTTTTTCCGTTGGTAGGATTTTTATTAGTGCTTCAATTCCATTGTTATTGGATTGCTCAGGGTTTTTAAATAATCTTCAGCTTTGGTAAGTCATATATATCTGGGAATCTATCCATTTCTTCTGAATTTTCTAATTTATTGGGGTACACATTTTCAAAGTAGTTGTTCATATTCTTCTGGATTTCAGTGGTGTCTGTTATGATTTTAACTTTTTCTTTTCTAATTGCATTGATTTTGGTCTTTTCTTCCTTTTGAGGGGTAAGATTGGCTGAGGATCTATTTTGTTTATTTTTCAAAGACCTAACTGTGATTCACTGATTCTTTGTATTGTTTATTTAGTCTCAATTTTCTTCATTTATGCTCTGATATTTATAATTTTTTCCTTGTACTAGCTGTGGATTTGGATTGTTCTGGGTTTTCTAGAACCATAAGGTGCGTCATTAGGTTATTTATTTGGATCACCTCAGTTTTTTTCACAGCTATAAACTTCCTTCTTAGGATTGCTTTCTTATGTGCCACAGGTTCTGGTATACTATACTGTGCTGGAGCTATCATTTGATTCTAGGAGCTAATTCCTTCCTTGATGTCTTCTGTGACCCACTGAGTGTTCAGCAGAGTTTTATTAATGTCTAGGTGTTTATAAAATTTCTGTGGTTTCTTTCTTGGTTGATTTCTATTTTCAGTGTGCTATGATATTTGTTAATTTTTTGTTTAGTTGATTTATTTGTGAAAGTGGGAGAGTTAGGTCACTTACTATATGTGTTGGTGTTTCTTTGATAGTTCATCTCCAACAATATTTGTTTAATGAAGTTAGGTGCCCCAATGTTCAGTGCATATATATTTACAATTGTTATCTCTTCCTGTTGATTTTTTCCATTAACTAATATGTAGTGGCCTACTTTGCCCTTTATGGTCTGTTCTTGCTTGAAATTTACCCTGTCTGAAAATAAAATTGTTACCCCTGCTTACTTTTGGGGTCCTGGTGCATTGTATTAGTCCATGCTTGGTAAAGTCAGATGTAGAAGAGTATAAGACGTCTGTCTGCACACTGGAGACCTGAAGGATCCAATCCATAGCTTGGAGCCCATGGCAATGTCCCATCCAGATCCACATCAGGAGGGTGAAGGATCCTCAGTGGGAAACCAAAAAACCTGCATCAGAGAGGCCCAAGGGCCAGTGCTGGAACCTGAAGTGTATGCGCCAAAATTCTGCAGGATCTGAGCCAGGAGGCTGAGGGATCTGCACTGGAAGCCAGGAGATGACGTCCAAGATAAAGACAAGGGTCGAAGCTGCCCTGAAGAAAGAAAACTGCCAAAGCTCCTTGGAAGAAAAACTACTGAAAGTCTCTCAAAGAAAAGCAGCTGCAATGAAGCTCTTCTAAGGAAGATCAACTGAAAGCCTTCCTTCAGGTTCAACTTTTATACCACTTTGACAGCCATGCTGACTCAAATGAGCTGGGCATTCCAACTCAAACTGACAATTAATTAATTAATTAATCAGCCACCACATGCATGGAATATTGTTTTCCATCCTTTGATTTCTAGTCTGTGAATTTCTTTTTAGACTAGATGAGTCTTCTGAATGCAACAGACCATTGAGTTTTTGTTTTCTGACAGTCTGTGAGGACATTTACACTGAGAGTTATTACAGAAAG